TCCCCCCCCCCCCCCCCCCCCTCTCACCCACTCCACCACCGTCCACACCTGCTCGTGGCCAGGGCGTCGATCTCGTCGAAGAAAATGATGGCAGGAGCCGCCTGCCTCGCCTTGCGGAACACCGCTGCCACCGCCTTCTCCGAGTCTCCGACGTACTTGCGGAACAGCTCGGGGCCCTTTACGGCCAGGAAGTTGAGCGACCCCTCTGTGGCCAGCGCCTTGGCGAGCAGCGTCTTGCTGCAGCCCGGGGGCCCGTAGAGCAGGACCCCAGCTGGAGGGCGGATCCCCATGCGAGAGAAGTGCTGGGGGTAGCGGAGGGGCCACTCAACCGCCTCTGCTAGCGCCGCCTTAGCCTCCTGCTGCCCTCCGATCTCCGACCACAGGACTTTGGGTACCTCCACCACCGTCTCTCTCAGAGCACTTGGCTTGACCCTGGACGATGCCAGGAGGAGGTCGTCAAGCAGGAGGGTGAAACTGCTCTGCTCTCCCGCGCTCCCTTGCTCGTCTTGCACAACCTGCGCCTCCTCCTCTGTCCGACGAAGAGCATGGATCACTGCGGTGTTGACCACCAGCTCAATGTCCGCTCCCACGTACCCGTGCATCCTGCTGCTAGCTTTCTCCAGGTCTTCTTCCGTGAGACTGTGAGGGACTCGAGCAAGCAGGATAGAGAGAATGCTCCTCCTGCGACCAACGAACTCAGCTGAGCAATGAAGTAGTCTCCTTCCTCACCTCCCGTCCGCAGACGGCACTCCGACTTCGATCTCCAGGTCAAGTCGCCCCGCCTGCCGCAGTGACGGGTCGATGGAGTCGGGCCGGTTGGTGGCAGCGAGGAGGAGGACGCGGGCTCCGTCGTCGCCCTCCTCCGACCTGCGCTGCTCGAGATCGTCGAGCTGCTTCACAAGCGCGCTCACCATCCTCCTCTCCATCTCCCCCCCTGACTCGCTCCTCTTTCCACAGATGACATCGATCTCGTCGATAAAGATAGCGCACGAGGGGTAGGAGGAGGCGGTCTGGAACAGCTCCTTGATCCTTGCTTCGCTGCTCCCGTAGTCTCCTCCCACCAGCTGCGGGGCGTCAACGCTGAGCAGCTTCATGCCCATAGCCTCGCATGCTGTACGAACGAGCAGCGTCTTTCCGGTGCCCGGGGGGCCGAAGAGTAGGACGCCGCGGGGAGGAGCGACTCCGAACTTTCGGTATTCGTGTGCAAGGAGGGTACCTACAGATGAAGAGGAGGAGGAGGAGGAGGAGGAGGAGGAGGAGGAGGAGGAGGAGGAGGAGGAGGAGGAGGAGGAGGAGGAGGAGGAGATGGCCCCAAAGACAAATGGGAGGAAGGAGCAATGAGAAGAAACCAGAAGAAGGAGTAGGCGCAAGCAGCAGAAGATTCAGTTCAGGAGTTCGCAACAATCAACCTCACCTGCTCTCAAGGCATTGATGAGACTCTCCGCCGCCTGCAAACATCCGCCAACCCTGAGAAGAGTCTTTCTAACATGAAAAGACGATCCCTGCACCTCCTCCTTGCTCTCTTCCCTCTCCTTATCTTTATCTTTGTTCTCGTCAACCTCTCCTGAGATGTTCAACTTTGTCTCAAGCTTGTCTCTAACGTCCTCCAGTGAGTTGTTGAAATCATTCTCATCTTGTTCCCGGGCTGAGGAGCCGAATACAATGTTGAGATCGGTCTGCCCAAGAACAAACACAGACAGAGCCCCTTTGTCCTCGTCCTCGTCCTCATCCTCATCCTCATCCTCGTCCTCGTCCTCGTCCTCGTCCTCGTCCTCGTCCTCATCGTCTTCACGTCTTCTCTTCTCATCTGTTCCCTCCTCCAGGAATGCGCTGATTCACCAACGTCAGCAGAGGTTGCCAGCGTTAACCTTCTCGCACCATGTCTGAGAGTCACTTCGAACGTCATCAACTAGTGCGACTTCTTCACGGCCGTTGAACGAGACTGCCAGTCAGCGCGTCAGCCGCCGCACAGCCCCAGCCGCCTCCTCACTCTTTATCCTCATCCCCTTGCACAGGAAGAACCCACTGAGCTGCGAACAAGTCAAGAGGAGGAGCTTGCAGGAGCAGCGTCGGCGCTACCTGCTTCCCAACCACCAAGGAGGCGATGGGCCCGAAGGTCGATGCTGAGCTTGACCTGTCCGCGTCACGAGTCAGGAGAGCAGTAGAGCAGGAGAGCAGGAGGCGAGTCAGCAGGGAAGTGCAATGGGGACGGACACGCGTATAGAGGCTGGCGGTGGGGACGATGGTGCCTACCCAGGAGGCTTCAGGCTGAGGAAAACTCGATCGCAGCGAGGGAGAGACGACTGAACCAGCTGCGATCGAAGCAAGAGGATTACCTCTCCTTGATAGGAAGTCAGCAACTCTTCTCTCCTCCCCCTCCTCCTCTCACTTTCTCTTCAACTTCCCCTTCCTCATTCCCTGACCCATCGTTCTCCTTCTTCTTTTGCCACCCCTCCAACGTTGGCCCATCATCGCTTTCAATACTCCTCCTCCTCTTCCTCCTCCTCTTCCTCTTCCTCCGAGTCTCTCCCCTTTCCGTCTCCTCCTCCTTGTCACCTTCCTTAACTGCAAGCAGCTCGCGCAGACTTTCTTCCATCCCGCACGACGTTGCAGTTGTGCTCGAGCTCGGCCAAACTCTTACCACTGACAACTTTCCTTCCTTTCCGGCCTCCCTCACCACAGATCTAGCGCATTCAGTCCGAAGAGAGTAGTAGGAAAGAAGTAGAATGCAGGAAATATCAGAGAGGAGGAGTAGAGAGGAAGGGATCAGGAGGAGGAGGAGGAGGAGGAAGAAGAAGAAGAAGAAGAAGAAGAAGAAGAAGAAGAAGAAGAAGAAGAAGATGATGATGATGATGATGATGAGGATGATGATGATGATGATGATGATGATGATGATGATGATGATGATGATGATGATGATGATGATGATGATGATGATGATGAGGATGATGAGGATGTCGATGATGATGAGGAGGAGCAAGTAACAAGATTGTAGGAGAACGGAGAGGAAGATGGGCAGTGCGAGGAACAGCGAGAAAGAAAGAATGCTATCATAAGAGGAGGGCTGGAGCCGAAATCTTACTTGAGCTCAGCCATGCTCTTTGTTCTTTCTGCAGCAGCATCCCCAGGTTGGAGCTTTCTCGCACCAGCGGCCAACAGGATTCTTTCACCCACCGCTATCCTCAGCCTGTCCGTCCAGTCACTCTCCCTTTCCATGGAGGCAACAAACCAATCCTTCCTGCGCATCGTCGCGTGCGCAAGGAAGACTGTGGGGATGGAGTCGAAGCTAGCGGAGCGACCGGGGGCTCTGATAGAGGAGAAGGCAGACCTGGGAGACGTGAGGAATAGGAGGTAGACAAAGGCTGCCCTGACCTGGTCCAATCAGCAGGAGCATTGGAGAAGGGGCTAGCTTTCTCTGCCTTCTTCGGCATCCTGATATCTTAGCTCTCAGAGGCTGCAACAATAAAGCGTGTCTTGGGGTTCGGATGTGTTATTTTCTGTCCGCTTCTCCCAGTCACCGCGGGCTGTTTGTGTGCATTTCCTGATTCCAAGTCAGCGGCCTGAGTCAACATCTTTTTAGATCCATCATCTCTCTTCTGCCACTCCTCTCATATCATGTACGTCATGCTCGTGTTGTTTTGTTTGCACTGTCGTATGACACTTTCACCTTCCCCTCTTCCCTTTGAGCCCAACATCGTCCAGAACTCGCTACGGTATTAGAAATGTCCTTGCTTCTCCCTCATGATTAAGCTCCCTCCTCCCTCCTCCCTCCTCCCTCCTCCCTCCTCCCTCCTCCCTCCTCCCTCCTCCCTCCTCCCTCCTCCCTCCTCCCTCCTCCCTTCTCCGCACCATGACGGCGTTGCGACTATTCACCATGAGGATATTCACAGGGTGAGCGGCGCGGGCCCGGGCCGGCCGGCCCCACCCCAGGGGTCCCGGTGCCAGTTACTGGCGCGAAGATCGGGCGAGTGACTCAAAGTTAAGTTAAAATTCAGTACTAGTACGAGCGCCATGACGACATCCGGCTCGTACTGATTTTAGCTTAACTTTGAGTAAAAGCTGCGGCCCGTTGCCACAGTTTGACTTTTATTGACAGCTGGCCGGCTGATCTTTTTCAGAGTTGCGCCGGCTGACTGCAAGTGACCCCCGGGAGTCCGAGGAGACGCCTCAGTGATTTAGTGGAGATAAAAGTCATAATAAAAGGATTAAAATGATATTAAGTTATCATCAAGTTGCTTCTTTACTACCAGATTACCCTCTTGAGCCTGTTATCCGCCCTTCAACCAATCAGGCCCTCACCAGGTTCCTTCGCCCCCCCGCCCCCTTCCTCCCCGCTCTTCATCGCCCCTTCATCACCTCAGCCTCCTCCTCTCCTCATGGTGTTTCGTCGACTCTTGTCTGTACCCCGTGATTGATCAAGTTCTCTGCCATGACGTCCTTCTCCCCCCCACCCCCTCCTTCCATTCGGTTTCAAAGCATTTGCTGGGGCCCTGTCGTCCTTGCACACTCCGTTCACCAGCACAGGGCTGTCGTCAACTTGACGGTGAAGAGCGATGGACGGGAGCTTCTCGACATCGTCTTCTTAGCTTGCATGAAGGCATCGGCAAGAAAGGCAGAGGCGAGAGGAGCTTACGAGTCCCACAACGACTGTGAGTAGCCATGAGACTCTTGGAAGCTGCCCAGTTTCATATTGCTCGGTTCCTTATCGTCACTTGCACAGTGATACTCTCTACGCACTCATTTTTCATCTCCTTGATAAAGCTTCTTCTTTGCTCTTTTGTGTCTGGACTGCAGACGGACTAGGGGACAGGGGGAGCGCTGCGTGCTGCGTGCGAGCAAGAAAGGAGCTCGCTTTATGCAATGCAAGAGAGCTCTGCCCTTTATGATCCTCGCGGTACTTGTCCTTCACTACCACATCCCCTTGCTCGATCATTTGTTTTATCATCCCTCCTCACCTGGCTGGATCTTACTCGGTCATCCATCTTCCGAATGACCTAAACCCTTGCAAACCGAGAACAACTCGAAGTAAGGGACAGCACTCAAAACGAGGCCTACCCTTGCTCGTCAACAAAGTCAGACCAAGGACTCAGAGGACTAGAAGCAAGTAGCAACTAGACGTGCTCGACATGGCGGCGAGAGCTTCTTCTCAAGTAAGATTTGTAGATTCCCTCAGCCTTCGTAAGGATCAGTGTCTTCAACCAGAAAGGTCTTTTCTCTCCTCATGCTGTATGCCCCACTGTGTGATCCAGGGGAGATGCTTTGAGCATACTCTGTAGACGCCTACAACTCTGCTGCAGGCAGAATCCTCAGTACCAGTCTGAGTCGCGCGGCGAGGCGCATCGAACGTTTGACTCGGAGGACTAGGTGCCAAGTATCTTGCTCTACCACCAGAGCCATGAGATGGAGTCCGATCAAATGCATGTCGGCGTTCAGCATGAGGCTGCCGCCTACTGAGTCAGACGATGGAAGGAGAAGACTGAACAACAACTCTGGCAGAGCGGAGCCGTTTCAAAGAAACTTGAGCACAAACAAGTTGAACTGGTCAAGTCCCGGTCCTCCGAGTGATCGTATTGTCACGGTCTTCGAGCAGTGAAACCAGCGGGAATCTGACGGCAGTTATAGAGGTTTTTACCACGAGAATTACCAGCTGCTGAGCTTTACTACACGAGCAGGAGTCATACCACCACCCGTTGTGGGTCTTTCGGGTATCAATGACCCCCTGGTGCTACAGCATTACTACAGCAGGGAGATTCCGCCCTTCACCTTTAAACACCCTGCCTTGACCTGCTCTCCTCCAGTCTCCCTCCGTCCTCCCTTGCCGCCGTGCTGTGCTTTCGCCATCTCCTGTGCTACTGTTTCGTCGTCACAGTCACTGACGCACATGGCTCCCTGCAATCCCTCACCCCTCATAACTTCCACCCCTCCTGCTGTCCTCTCCTCTTCAGGCTCGATACGACTGGATGCCTTGTGCTGGAGTTCGTCGTCTTCGAAACCCTTGACCACGAATCATCTCCATCTCCCAGGCAAAAAGCTCGTCGCAGTTGCAAGTGACGGTCAGACGCTCCTTCGCAACGTATTCGCAGCTCGAGACAAAGTGGCAGAGAAAGAGCGCCCCTGTCATCTGAAATCCTAGAGAAGAAGCTAATGGCGAATTGGATTGGTAGGAAGATTTGTATCATATGTGCGATAGTTGGATTTGTTTGAATGAAGAAATGCTAAAAACGACTTCAGTGTGGATGCGTGTCAGTGTGAAAGTTGGATGTGTTTGAATCAAGGAATGATAAAAATGACTTGGGACACTTTCCCGAAGTGCTTGTGTAGACCCGTCACGACTCGCATTGCTGCTTGACAACTGTGTGGATTTGCTCCAACGTCAAATCAAAGAGTAAGATGCAAAATGGTACTACGGAAGAGTGGCCGCAAGCTGCGATCAGAAGCATCTGTGTGATTCAGTAGAAGATCCTCAAGGATGATTAATGCTTTATCACCGATGAAGCATTCAGATGGCTTTGATGTCGATGACAGACTCAAACAATGTCATAACGTGTAGTCAAACCCAACTGGCCATGACAGCAAGACCCATAAGAAACTTCACTTTTGATCACCCTTTACTATCGTTCACATGCTCCACACCATGCAACTAGCTAGAAGCTCTTGGCTGACATGACCATCAAAACCATGACCCCTCCTTTCTACTGCAAGTACCCCTACCACACAGATGAGGCTATTTGATCGGCTACGTACGACTACTACTACGTCCCACTTCTCATGATCGGAAGCTACCCCCACCCCCTCAATACCCTCTCTTACCACCCCCCGTTTTCGACTAGTCATGGACACCTGATAAAGCCTGAAAAAAGCCGCCTGCTCCGTCTCCTCGCCTCCTCCCCTCGCGCTCTCTCTCAGCTCTTGGACGCTTAGCACTTGAGTTACCTCCGTCCCTCCTGATCCCTCGAATGATTCTTGGCTGCAGTTCGAGCAAACTTGAAACTATATGACGTCCCCTCCTCCTGCCCCCCTCCATCGTTCCATCCGGTTCAAGGAATTGCGCTGGAATCACTCTCCCTCTACAAACTCGCATGTTGTTCTCCGCACGCCTTGCAATCAAAACGCATCAGCAACAAGTGACGGTCAGACGCTTCTCAAGAATGTGCAAGCTGTTCGAAGCAAACTGGTGGACAATGAGCGCCCACGTCAACAGAAGTTGTCTTCTTGACAGACCGAGAATGGGGGACAGGGACTCAGTATTAGTAGTATTTTGACTCATTAAAAAACCCGAAACTTACATTCTCCAGTGATTGGTACCCGATTGTATCAGAGTATCCAAATCTTGAGAGTATGCAGGTAATTGATTGGATTCACTTCCAGATACGTGTCTGCCAACTGAAATATGTCATTTCGAGGCTTGTAACAGATTTTGCAATCGGTCAATTTTGTTTTTTTTTGGATGGATCAATAATGTCTTTGCATCATGATAAATGATACTGAGTCTAGACAGACAACTCTATTTCACATCTTCGAATCAATCCTGCAGTTGACAGTGTTGGTACAAGTGTACAACGGTGATGCTGGCCTTCCTGTTGTGTAGCCAACTTGTTTCGCTCTTTGAGTAAAAGTTTCGCTCTCAATCGTCTACTTGTTCTCTTGTCACTGAGTGCCCTTCCCTCCTACCCCCGGCCCCGGCCCCGGGTTTCTCCCCCGACCCCAGGGGGCCGGCGTGAGTAAAAAAAAACATCAAAGATGTACCCCTCCGGCGCTCCGAATGTTTTCTTGTTCCTTGATAGCCATAGCTTCTGTCTCAAAGGGTGGGGTATATTGCTGGAATTTCCATGGTGGGGGGTGGTAGCCGTGTGGGAGTCGAAAGGTGCTCGCATGGCATTGCAGGGTCGCTACGTACTATCATTTTAACTTAATGGTTTTTACCGAGGGGTGGATGGTACTGGCAGGTGCTCATCTTTATCGAAAACGAGTTTTTTCCAACTCAGCCCCTTGGCATCTGACGTGATCAGTGATGTCTCAAACGTTTAAATATATTATATTATCATACAATGATTTAAAATTGCTACATATCATTTTTAGGAGGTATCTCGGATTGTTAAAACATTGTAGCTGTTGGCTTCCTGCAACTGACGATGACGAAAGGGCGGCAAGTCAGAGAGGAGGGAGCGAGAGAAGGAAAGAGGAAATGAAGGAAAGAGTGAGGGGAGCAGAGGAATCATTATGCGATATGTGGGGCTCTGAAGCCTGTATTCGGGTACCAAGCATGGAAGATCTGTTGAGAGTGCAGAGCATACACACAAGCATCTTGAGTCATAATGCTTTAGTCGAGTTGGAGGCTACGTCATCATTGGGAGGATGGGCTGAAGGTGACAAAAAGTAGCAAGCAAGAGGGAAGTGAATGAATTGGATAGAATATTTCAAGACATTTCCGTGTGTGGTTGTGATATCGACTGACAGTACTTGCGCAGGAACGTCGTTGTTTCCACGCAATCAAGAGACTTGCTGTTTAAGATTCATCGGCATGCTTTCATCCTATTCCATGAGCGCCAGTACCAACCAAGATCAGACTCAATCCCTTGGCAGGAGTCAAATGCAAAACTTTGCCAGAATGCGGTCCATGCCGGCGCTTGACGCCTTGCAAGCGAGCAACCAGGTATCCTGCGGGGTCCTTCATCGTATTGATGCAGAGGACATGAGACTGCAAGCTGCTCGATCGCACCAGATAAGCTCTTTCCGGGAGAAACGTCGAGTGCATTATGAGCTGGACAACTTTCAGCGAAGAACCGTTTCAATGCCTGCGATGAAGACGAGCAACGTGTTCAATGAAGAGACCATGGAGACTCGAGACTCCATCCTCGATCTCCTGCATGAGCTGAGCGAGAATCATCCAGATGCCTTTCAGGCGTTGTTGAGCAAGAATCTAAAGGTGAGCCAGAGCCCTTACTCTTTGTTTGTTCCTGTTCTGACCCGCGATGCTCCGCAAGGTGCTATGCGAAGACCTTGGAGTCAAGCATGCGTATGAGGAGACAAGACACAATTTTGAGAGTCATTGCAAGGATCTGAAGGTATCAAACTGTGTTCTTGTATCCGCTCTTTCATGATTCTTGGAAATTGATCGCAATTTGACATGTTGGAGGCTCGAGACTGAGATTTGTTTGGACAGGTTGTGGAAGAAGCTGAGGAAGAGTACACCATCGATGAGATGAAACAAGACATGTATAGCTAAGATGAAACCAAGTCCTAATAGTATAGTTGGATCTTTTGTTTGTTGTAAATAGTTGTTCATCCATTCCTTCATATTCTCAAAAGAATGTGCATCACGTTTACAACGAAGCCGCATTTGCCAAATGCGTTTCTCGAATCCAATCAAACAACCCTTTCTTGCACCTAAAATGCAAGATCGGCTCCATACTTGTTCCTCTTGTAGTAGATGTTCTTGGGATTTCTATCTCTGACACGAGCGCCAAAGCATGTTCTGTCCTGGGGGTCGAGGAATGCTTCCTACCCACGGCATGTCAAGACAACCTCTTAGCGATGTCGTGCAAGAACCTGAAAGCGTTTCCCCATCTTTCGGTCTTCAGAGAGGGGCTGGTAGGTGATGTTTGTCTTCAAGATGTTCAGTCCAGCCTCTGCACAAGTTCAAGTCAACGAAAGTGAGATGAGACATTTCATCCTGGGCAGGAGCATTGCTATCACAAGGCGTGCAAGAGGGAGAGAACGAGCAAGGGGAGGTGAGGGACTATCGCGAGTGTAAGCAAACACCGAGAGGAAAGTGAAGGAGAGGAGAGGAACCGCAGAGTTGGCGCTATCAAGATGAAATTGTCATTTCCGCTACCTCTCATCTTGCGATCGTACTTCAAGTACTTCCCCGACAAGGGCATCTCCTCTACGTTGAAATGGTACTTCAAGTCTGCCTTGGGCTTGAACTTGTCCAGGTCCTGACCAGCAGTCTCCGTCTCCGTCTTGGCGCCCTCAGCTGGTTGCGCGTCAAGGTCCTTGAGGGCCATCCGAGCCATGGAGGAGCGAGCGACTACCCGAAACCTCATTTCCTCGAGCTTCAGCTGCTTCAGCTCCTCCTGCATCCGGTGCATGTACTCCTTGGACCACCTCCTGGCCTCGGGCTGCAGCATCAGCTGCTCGAGGCTCGTCAGCTGTTTGTAGTTCTCAGCTCTCTGCCTCTCAAGGGAGCCCTCGTCCTCCCGGTTCCTCCTCGTCCTCATCCTCTGAATGGCCTTGTTGACGTTCATCTCCACCTTGACCAGGTGGTGGAACTGTTGTACATTTCTCTGAAACCAGGATACTTCTTCCATCAGGTGATCTTCCTTCTTCTCAAGATGGTCAATCTTCGTTCTCACCTCGGCAAGCTCTCTCTGTATCATCGTCTTGTAATCCGAGTCGCCTTCCATGTACTTGTTCCTCGCGGTGCTCTCGATCAGCTGCAGTTGCGTCTCAAGCTCTCCCTTCATGTTCAACAAGGGTTTCAGGTCGACCCGCACTTGCTGCCAGTCAGCCTGCAGCTTCTTGACGTTGTTCTTTTGCACACACGCGTTGATCTCCGTCATGAGCACAGAGTTGACGTGGTTGTTCGCCAGGGTGAGCTTGGTGAGAGAGGTGTTGTGCCGTCTGAGCACATGCAGAAACTCGTTGGCTCCCTCGTCTCCGATGTTGTTCATGTCCAGATTCAGCGACATCAGCGTGCTGTTCGTCTCGAGCGACCGCGCAAGGGAGGACGCGCCTTGTGGGCCGATGTCGTTGTGGTACAGGTCGAGCTCCCGTAAGATCACATTCACCTTGAGCGCATGCGCCAGGAGGTCAGCCCCAAAGTCTCCGCACTCGATCCAGCTGAGGCTCAGGTCGGCCAGCCGCGGGTCGTTCCTGTTCAGCCTCCTCAGCACCACGTCCAGCTCGCTCTTCTTCTGCGATGTCATGGCGAAGTCGCTGGCGCAGTTGACGTACCACTTGGCGTTGGAGGGCCCGATGAGCCGAACCATCTCGAGCAGCTGAGCGGCGACGAAGGGGGGCGGAAGGAGGTAGAGGGGAAGGAGGGAGGAGGGAGGAGGGAGGAGGGAGGAGGTAAGAAAGGAGGGAGTCGACTTTAAGCCCACGGAACAGTTGCGCCGGGCAGCACACGATCTGAGCGTTTGAACTTCATCTCATCAGTTGCCATATGCTTGAGTCAGCGCTGCCATGGTGGTACGGTAGCCTCATCATAATCGCGCATCCGATATTTGACCAGCACATCAGCAGTGTTGTCATACATGAATCAAGGGAAAGTTTCATTTTGCCACCTTCCTTGTCAAGCACACTTGATAGTCGACCACCAGCCACTAACGATCCTAGAGACAGTCTCTGGCTCTCAAAGCACGACAATCAAACAGTGAAGTCAGTCAACGACCTCAGTGAGTCTCAGCAGCCTTGAAGGTTCGCATGCTCAGATGCGCATACACATGTCCGAGGGGAACCAGGGCTGGCAGTAAGATGCTGTCTGTCTGCATGCACTGCCGCGCATCTCATAGAGCATAGCGGCGGGAGCAACGGCCATCAGTTGCCGGTCCTACACAGACCGGGGAACTTTCTGCCTTGAAGTTCTCGAACTTCAAGGCAGAAAGTTTAAACTCAAAGTTTCCAAAGTTTGTTGATCCGATAGAGTAGTGATGCCCTTCGTAATGGCGGGAGATAGGCGACGACAAGGAGGAGGAGAAGGGAGAGGAGAGGAAGCAAGGAGAAGGCGAGAAGAGAAGAAGACGGAAGAAGGGTGAGGGCAAGCAGCAGCAGCAGAGCAGCAGGTGGTCGAGTGAAAGGGCGCGAGAGTGAAGCAGCGAAAGAAAGCTTGTCGATCCTTTGCCGAAGGAAAGGGAGAGATGTCGAACATCTGAAGTTTTGAATGAATCAGGGCATGTGGGACTGGAAGCCAAGATGAGATAAAGGGGGAAGGAGGAGGAGCGGAGACGGCAGGGCAGGGAGGAGGAGGAGGAGGAGGAGGAGGAGGAGGAGGATTCTCTTTTGAGGCGCTGTGAATCCGGCAACCTTCTTGCTCGCTTGTGCTGCTCTCATGACGTTGACGGGTGCATGGTAGGAGCGACGTCTGTGTGGGGACTTGAGCTCAAGCTCAGCTGGAGATGAAGTCAGCCAAGAAGTCCTCGCAGACCCAGTCGAAGTTGAGCCACTTCTTCAAGGTAGCCAACAATGCAGGAGCCGACAAGGAGGAGGGGCAGGAGAGGAGAACCCTGTTCTCGCATGCAGGCAAGCATCAAAGTCAAGATGCTCCTGCCAAGCAGAGATGCGAGGAGGAGAAGGAGATCGGCGATCCGAGTGGCGGAGACGGGAGGGACGTTGCGCTTCCAGCAAGCGGGAGGAAGAGAGAGCACGAGCAGGCCGAGAGAGGCAGCGGGGGGAGGAGCCTCCGCCGGAGGGTGAGGAGGAGTCTGAAAGAATCCTCAGAGGAGGAGGAGGAGGAGGAGGAGGAGGAGCGGATTGTGTCTCATGTGGTTGCAAGTGACTCGGACAGCGACGAGGGAAAGAAGAGCAGCTCCCATACCACCCCTGCCAAGTGCGAGATGAACGTGGACGTGTTTGACTGCACGCCAGCGATGAAGAAGAAGGAAGAGGAGGAGGAGGAGGAGGAGAAGAAGAAGGAAAGGAAGGGAGCAAAGGGGAAGGGGGAGAAGGGGGAGAGGAGGGGTTTCACGCCTTTCAAGAGGAAGTTGGAGAGTGTTGTAGAGGAGGATAAGGTGGAGGTAAAGACAGCAGCGAGCCTGACGGACAAGGAGGCTAAGAAGAGGCACGAGCAGTTTGTGAAGAAAGTCAGCCTGTTCAAGGAGCGGCTGGATCGGGAAGAAAAGAAGGAAGTGACAGACAGTCAGAGCTCGTTCCAGAGTGTCGATCTTGTCCCGACCGACCTCACGTAATGACTTCTCACCTCGTGTGGCTGTGATGTATGTGAGGGGCGTCGAGATATGCTGATGATGAGTATGAATTGATGCGATGAGGGAGAGGGAGGAGGAGGAGGAGGAGGAGGAGGAGGAGGAGGAGGAGGAGGAGGAGGAGGAGTGGGAGTGGGCTAACCTTCGACCAGGTATCCTAAAGGGGCCAAGCTGACCCCGTTCGAAGAGCAAGTTGTTGAGATAAAGAAGAAGCATCCTGATGTAGTTCTACTAGTTGAGTGCGGGTAAGTTCTCTCCCTGCCGCTTCCATCACGTTCTCCTCCTCCTCAACTTCCCCCTCCCCCCCTTCCCTCTTCCTCGTTTTCCCTTTCCGCCTCCGTCTCCTCCGTCTCCTCCGGTGTCTGCTCCCATCTTTCTTTGTCCTTTCTTATTCCTGCTCTGTACCCCGCCCCGCTCAACTCGTCTGCCGCCCTGAGGAGGGAGGTGTTCAGTCGGTGACCTGATACTCAGGTACAAGTTTCGCTTTTTGGGACGGGATGCAGAGATTGCGTCAAAAGTTCTTCACATCTTTCATCACATTGACCACAACTTCCTGACTGCTTCCATCCCAACTTTCCGACTACAAGTACACCTCGTCTGCTTTCTTCAGCTCTCTCTACCCAACGGCACCTGTTGGAGCAGCAGCTCTCCCCTCTTCCCTCTTCCCTCTCCCCTCTCCCCTCTCCTCTCTCGTCTCTTCTTCTCTCTTCTCCTCTCATCGAGGTCTTCCTGACCTCGCCATGGCAGGTTCACATTCGACGTCTAGTGGAGGCAGGGTACAAGGTCGGGGTGGTGCGGCAGATGGAGACGGCAGCGATCAAGGCTGCCGACGCGAAGCGGAGGAACTCAAACTTTCGACGCGAGCTGTGCGAGCTGTTTACCAAGTCGACGATGATGGTGGAGGACGTGGAGATTGTTGGGCACTCGTTCTCCCCCTCCTCTTCCTCCTCCTCCTCGGTCTACCTGATGTGCGTCTACGAGCAAGAAGGAGGAGGGGAGGAGGAGGCGGATGTTGGGATCGTTTGCATCGACACTTCGTCGGGGGACATTGTTTACGACAGTTTCAAGGACGACAGGACGCGATCAGAGTTGGAAAGTAGACTGTGTCACCTGCAGCCCAAGGAGATGGTGTGTTGATGGGGAGGAGGAGGAGGAAGAGGAGGACGAGGACGAGGAGGACGGGGGGAGGGGAGGAGGACGAGGACGAGGACGAGGAGGAGGAATTTTTTTTGGTGGGGGGATGAAGGACGAGGAGGACGAGGAGGACGAGGAGGATCGTTCGACTTGACATCATTGTCAGGTACTCCCGGAGAATCTGTCAGTAAATAGCATGAAGTTGATCAAACGGCATGTTGGGGGGAGGCAGAAAAGTTCGACGAGAGTTGAAATTATCTCTCCCAACTTGTTCAAGCAAGCTGCCGCTCACCGTGCAATCTCTTCGTTCTTTGACAAGAATGATGGGGATGAAGGAAGGAGCGACGACGATGGTGAGAGATTGCGAGCACTTGAGAAACATCCTGATTAAGAGAGAACATGCGAGTCAGCAAGATCAGGAAGCAACACAACAGAGAG